ATAGAGAAGAGGAGGCTTTTATATTGTATATTATACACACAAATGCGTCTCTTCACACCTTTCACAACAGTGAAAAAAAGTGATATCACTGATTTCACATGTATTGTTGCACATACACAATGTGCATCAAAAATTTGGGGACACCTAGCTTTTCAAAAAGTTTTCCTTTCTTTGTCAGCTTGCAAAAACTTAAGATGACACGGGCTTATTTAGCAGAAAACAGGCACGTGTGAATATTTGTGATAGTGTGTATTATGTTCATGATAATGGTATCTTGGGCATAATGAAATATCCCACACATTTTATACCCTTGTTCTGACGTCAGGTCACACCTGCATTCAAACCTTTCAGCTGTTTGAACCACCTTTGGCAATAGTTTGGTAAAGAAACTGAAAAATGTCAAACCATACCAAAAGAGTCACTTTGGTGAAATCATAGGTGAATGTTGCAGAATATAATCACAGAATTGGTGAATAGCTGTTTTATGAGAACAAAACTTTTGCAGTCACTGTAAAAATGACTATAATTTACTGGCTGTAATTTCTCGAATAATTTATTTACAGTACTTGATATAAAGAAACAGGCAAAGATTTAAAGATCTGGCAAATGTGCCACTATATTGCTAACCTCTGGTAGCAAAAGCTTCAATGTTCACGCATACATGCATAAAGTGCATTCAAAGTATCTTTGGGATAAGAATAACAAGTAAAAAAAAAAAGTCTGTGAAATGAACAATAGATGAAAAAATAAAATACTAAAAGCTAACAAAACAGCAAGGAATAACAAGAACCTCCAACCTGTCACTACAAGATTCAGGGACAGGCTGCTCAAGGTATAAGGTACTGGTCAGTTTCCCAGTATGCTTTGCAAATACCAGCTAATTACAGTACAAGCATCTGGTTACGGGCTTGGCTGAGGGGGCAGCAAGGAAGCATTATGCCCAGAGGCATTGCTATACTGACCATCACCAACTAGCCAACTACACTGTAGTTATCTTAACCAGAGAAGAAAAAAAAATAAACAAGTGCCTAGTTACTATAACAGCAGACCACAGCAGGGAAAAGCCAATTAACCACAGTTCCACCTTTCACATCACTAGGAATAGATGTCTGGGTGAAACGCCGAAGAAAGCAGTTACCTCGTTAAGCAGCCTGTGGTAGGAACTGAAACAGCTCAACTATGTTTCCACAGACACAGTGGAGCAAGGTGAGTTTATATGTTGGCACTGAAAAAGGTGTTTGATGACACTTTATTTTGAGTGAAACGAACACTCAAAAGACTCTCAGTAACATGTCAAAAACATATGAGGGTTAGGATTAGGTATTGGGTTGAGGTTGAGGTTAGGGTTAGGATTAGGGCCAGGGTTAGGGTTAGGTTTTGGTAAGGTTGGGTAAGGTTAGGTTTTGCGTAATGGAACTAACATGTTAACAATTCATCTACTTAATGTAAGTAATGTATCAACAGTACATCTTCAATGTATTCAGATGATTCACTACTGCTACTTCATGGATATGTTGTTGATGTCTTACTGATAATCTTTTAAGAGGTTATTAAGCATCTTCAAAGGATTACTCCAAATGAAGTGTTATCAGAGCCAGTTTAAGAGGAGCCTGGCCACTTCCTGTTTCCCCATTATATCATAAACATGACTGTAAAACCCGAGAGCAAGTCCTCAATGAATGGGAGTAAATGGAGCTTAACGGCTAAAAACGAAAAGTTAACATAGTTTCTAATCACACGCCCAGAACTTTAATTTTAGAAAGTAGAAGAAAGTATTTCACCAAAAAGCAAAGGAAACGTACCCATGTATTTTCTTTTTGCTATAGCAAACGGGCGTTGGCCAGGACACTAGCATCAGAGTCGCATCTACAAGTTCTCTGCTAGCATTAGTGCTACTGAGTGCTGATTGGTTGGTGAATGGAGCAGCTCATCGGCTGTTTGTGCTCACAGACGTCATGGACATACATGAGGTGCCGTTTTAGAATCCTATAGCTCGAGTTTAAAAGCTCTTAAAAATATAACAGCAGCATTAAAATGTTTTATGTTATTCAGTGTTCAGGAAATGATTGTATTCTTTTACATTAAAAATGTTTAAGCAAATGCTCATCTTAAACCATTCATTTTGGACTTGCTAACGTTTTATGTCTTACATTACACAATTAGTGAGAGTTTGCGTTCGATGGCGGTGTGCCTCTGAAAAATAAGTAATGATCTAAGGAGAGCTGTGGTGGTCACCTTAATTTATTTAAGGTGGAAAAAGATACAAGAACACAAGAATGTTGCACTTTGGAATTATCCTGTATTATAAAAGCACAAACATTATGTAAAGTATGTAATATTTTTAATGGCACAGGAGGACTTTTTTTTTTGAGCAGTCCGAAATCTGGGCAGTTTATCTTAAAGTGAGATGACCTAGGCCCCCATAGCTACACTACTGGTGCTAGTTAGACTAAAGGTCTACCACCCAGCCTGAAAGAAATAGGAGAAACCAGACATAATGCTAATGATAACAGAACTGAAGACTGTGTCGGTATACAAAGAGCAGTTATGGACGTTTTTTTCATACAAAAATCCCCACAATGTAACCACCGACACGGTGTTATTTACACTACAGTAGTACACTAGTTTCAGGCTTAATGTTGTACTCAAAATGCTGTGGGCTGTGAGGCTTAATGTGTATTTCAAATTACTCAAAAACATTCCTCAGTGTGGCGATTTGAGGCCTGATATGCTGACAAATAGTCTAAATGAATTCACGGCGCTACCCTGTCGTGTCTTCGCCTGAACTCAGATGAATCTGATTTGCGGAGAGCAAAAAGGACAGACAGAGAGAGAGAGAGAGAGAAAGACGGGGAAGGGGGGAGTGAAAAAGGCTGCTTTGACTTCAACTATCTCAACACCTGCTAATGTCATTGGGACATCGAATGCCTTGGAGACAGCGGTGTCCCAGGCAGCCTCGGAGATGAGGCGAGAATACCATTTTTCATGACAGGAGACAAACTGGCCTGACGTTTTAAAGGCCTCATGAAGTACAGATATGAAGCCGAAGTGCTTACTTGTCTGCATCCAAACCTCAAGATGACAGGCACATCTTCCGTCACGGTCTGCAGTCTGAAAGACCTGTCAGCAATATCATAAAAACTGCAGAAGTCTTTGAGCAGATCTCATGTGACGTTTGCCACAAATATGAAGGGCTACAACATCGAGAAAACGTCTGTTAGCCGTTCAAGGGCGGATTTTCTAATTAGATGTTCTACAGCCATCTGGTGGTGGTTTTAGGGTACTGCACCACTGGCGAACTAGGGTCCCAGAGGGCTAGAGTTCAGCATTGTTTCTTAATTTCTACACTCGGACACACCCATTAGGCCTGGAAAGTCATGGATGAGTTACATCAGGTGTGTCTAAGTAGCAAAACCCCCAATCCACCAGCACTGGAGTTGAATGTCCCCTTTGTAGAGTATCTGCTCATTTTGGTGTTCAAATGGGTGCTTATGAGTTACCTCTATGTGCCCTTAGTGACTCCTGTGGTGAAGTCTGCATTGTTGAACACTCAGAACAGCAGCAGTCTTTTACCCACAATTCCTAGGTCCTATTATAGTGGAGGGGCTTGTTTACAGCTGACCGATGTAAACGTTAGATGTTAACAACATGCAGCGTAGTTGTTAATATCCCCGAAGTGCACACTTGGAGGAGGGCCACAGGGCTTAAGGTGCTATTTGGGACAGGCCTTTAGTGTAGGATTAAAATGGAGAACCAGGGAGTGTCCCTTTAATCTCAGTTTACGTTTAAAGGAATGGTTGGGTCAGTGAAGACATGGTTAGTGTCTAAATTTTGCTTCTTTAGTTTAGCGCTGGAGCTACGAAGCGAACATGGTTAAGATGTAAACAAAGCCATTCAGAGTGGTTTTGGTGTAAAATGCTTCATTCTAGAGAAACTTACAGAGTCAGAATTGTTCACAGTGGTGGTGAGAGGAATCAGATGGCTTGAGTGTTTAATGCCTCTAAAAGCTACACAGAGACAGTTATAAAATAAAATGCATATGAATACTCAGCCTGATGTCTGAGACATTATTTTGTGGTAGTTTTGTGATGAAGTTAAATGTATTGGTGCATGGTGGAGGAATACATAAAAGGTTTTCGAAGGCAAAATAGCCCCCAAAGAAAACTCTTCTTTTTTCAGATTTACCACTATTTTACCATCATCAACATTACACATAAAACTCAGAAGACACATGTAGGTTCATTGGTGGTTTTAGATTGTAAATAAAATGTCTATATGTGTGTTGTAGACATAAGGACCCCTGGTTCCTATCACCATCACGAAATAAATCTGAGTAAGTTTCTCCACAAAAGAACCATTTCACATCAAACCACTGTAGATTACTGTGCTTAAAAACTGTTGAATTCACGTTTAAATTCTAATGCTTGTTAGCATTTTCAGCCTTGTAGCTCCAATACTAAACTAGTTTGGACACCAGTGTATCATGGCTGATTGACTACATCTGGGGTAAATGGAAAACTGTGTAAATTTGATTATTTCTTTAAGCTGTGTCTCAGAACTTGTTTCTTACTCTTGCTCATCTACTAGCCAAGTCATTGTTGTTTTGAGTTATTTTATCCCGTCCCCAGCTAGCAAAATGCTAATCAATCACAGGCTAAGACAGATAACACAACAGAACAGCACCTCTCTGTAGTAAGACTGAGGTATTCCAGCAGAGAGAGAAATGACTTACAGAGCAGATAAGGGGGACTTGTTTAATTACTGGTCAGCCAGCAGAACATGGGGTCTGATCTTGGCTGTTTGGCATTCAGAGCTTCGCACAGAGAGATAAGTTTGCCTTCACACATCAAGAGGACACAGCTACAGAATGAGAACACAGGGCCTTCTAAAAAGAGACTGGGGCAAGCCTTTACTCTGGCAGCAGTGCAGTGAGATATAGCTGTCCTTAACTGTCCTTTTACAATGTAGAACTGGACAAAAGACAAGAAGAAACAGGTTTGCAGGTAGTATATATGTTCTGTTTATTTTGTGCAAGCCATAAGAATCTAAAATGCACTTAGAGACATAAAATAACACAAAGCTTTCCCTTTTGAACACCCAAATGGCGAAAAACCTGTAACAACCACCGAAACCTTGTACAGATAGAACATTACAATGAATGAATAACAGTGATCTTGGTCTAACCTCAGTGATAAATAAGACAATAGAACTGATAAATAGGAACAATAGAAAAGATAATACAGCACTTAAAGCTCTTAAATCTCAATGAGAAATCCAGTTTATGATATTGCATAAATAAAATCAAATTCATAGGAAAAGGCAGAAAAATATATTCGAAAAAACAAATGTAGATAAAACTGCTGTTACTATAAATGGCTAAAAATTAAGTACATCTGAGGTGCCTAATGCACGATCCATCTCTTTTACAGCTGCCAGGATGGAAGGATTCTGGCAGTAGCTAGGAAACCCATGTTTGGTTGGGAGGTTGCCGGTGGACGTGACTTCACTGACTGCTGTGACGTGGCTGTCTACAGAATTGGACCCGTTCAACAAGTCCATGTGAATGCCCTGAATTATGTAAACTAACCCCAACCATAGTAACAAATCCTGGAGAAAAGCTTTCTGAATTGATTTTCCTTGTTGACACAGTAAACTAAAAAAAAAAAACAAACCCTGACATTCTGCTGTTTACAAAGCATAATGGCTCTGCGTGTCTTATCTTGAATGTAGTACGATTACAATGACTACATATAATCTCCTGCAGTGGGAGAGGCACGGTGAACACGTGGATTCGCTTTCACCTCCAGGTTAAACAGTTTTCAGTCCAAACCTATAACCGGTTGGTGTTAAAGAAATAAGTGAATATACATTCTGTAAATGGCACATAGAAAATACTCATAAAAAAGGCTGGTACTTGCTTTGTAAAAGCAAATAATTTGTAAAAGCAAAGAATTTGTTTACTGTTGTTCTACAGAAAATTCCCACGAAAGAAGATTCATATTTTAAGCCACTCAGTAGTCGATGCAAACAGACATATTACGTCAACTTGCTTATTTATAAATAACATAAAATGTCAACTCAAGTCATTAAATATGGCTATAAGAAATGAATCGTTCCATATTATTTGGGAAGACTTCATCTTTTGCATAGATTTCTTTGGCATATAAAGAAAAAACCTTCCTCCTTTTGAGATCAGTAACTTGTTCTAGTTTGACCAGCAAAACTGAGTGTAACAACACACAGTTTTGAAATTTTAAAGGACTGAAATAAAAAAAATAATAATAAAGTGCTGCAAAACACACAAAAATGTTGGATTCTGTAACAATGAATTGTTTGGTCTTCAACAGCAATCATTCTTTGGACCTCTGCATCTTCAATGAATTCTTCATTTTCACAGAGAGCAAGCAGGCACTCAAATCCAGACTGTCTAACATACCTTAAGACTAAAAAAAAGAAAAGCTACAAAAACAATCATATTGCATCATATTGATTGTCAATCTGAAATAACAGTAAGGCACAAAGGTTTGACTGCAAAGTTCAGTAAACATGCTGCTTGAAGAGGGGAGGGTAGTATGATATCATTATTGTGATAAATCACACCAGTATTTCTAGAATGCTGGCCAGTTGTCTGCATAAAAATAGAGGTTTAGACCAATTGTAGAGAGCCCTGTAAATGACTATCAATGGTGTTAGTGTAGCAACAATGAGTCGTTAAAGTAAAGGTTTGGCAAAAAATTGAATTTGCACAACCCTAGAAGTCATTACTGAGGCAAGTTTTCTTTAGGTTTAAACTGGAGCTACAAACACTGCCAACAAACACTAGAAACCAATAGTGACCCAAATCTTTTCTGTAAATGCATCCACAAAACTTCACTATGTAGCTGAATGCTGTAAGCAGCTATTTTAGAACATTTGTTGTGCTGAAATCATGCAAGTATATGGATGCTACAGATTAAATTAACAAACTGAATATTTTGACTGAATATATGTTTAAAAATACAAATGTAATCTAGCATCTACATTGTCTGCGTGACACAGTATTCAGCTACACGGTATGGTTTGTTCATATTTTATACCTCACAGCAAGTTATACTGTGTCCTAAAACCACATTGACAAGCCTGCGTGACCCTTAATAAAGACCTGGATATGGTTTGAGTGGAGTGCTAGATTTTTTTGGCATGTATTTACAGAAAAGATTTTGGTGAGTACTGAGCTCTAGTGTTTGTTAGCAATGTTAGCTCTGTAGCTTCAGAGTTTAATACATCTGGGGTAAGTAATTGGATTTATTGGATTTTTCTTGAAGAAAAATTATTGGATTTTCTTAAACAAAAATAAGTCATTGTGCACTTAGTATGATTTTTAGTGTTTTTTTGCACAGCTATGCTAATGCTTTGTATCTGTGCATTGTGAAGAAGTATCGCGATATACATTTTTTGCCATATTGCCCACCCCTAAGCATAAAGCATTTTTCTATCAGCAAATGGTCAGGCAATCACCATTCTGTGACAGTAAGCTTTGGGTATAACGAACGGCATCACTGATAGTGTGAAAAATAACTTCTGGGCTACCCGTCTTAGGGTCATAGTAACCACCCCTCCGCAGGGAATCAATCACCGAGGTGCTGCACTGCGCTAACAGTAAGCGCACCCCTAACTCCTTATAATCCTTATGCACTTCTTTTAGAGCACCAACACCAGCACTATCCAGAAACAGCACTGCACTGCAGTCTATAACCAGTGTATGAAAGGTAGGACTCTGTGGGAGGAAGACATTGGTGACCGCTTCAGGGTCCTGCTTGACCCCATTCGCTGCAGTTTCCTGCTTCTTCCTCTGCTTCTCCAGCTTCTTGCGCCTGGCTTTCTCTTTCAGTGGGTCCAGGCCCACGTTGCGATACAGAGACTTCTTAAACAGAGTCTGGTTGGCATAATAGATAGGAGCTTCATAGCGAAACACAGCCACCCCAGGCTCCGTGTGAAGGCCTTTATATGATGCCAAGTCCTCAAAAATCTCATAGTCTCCAGCTTGCCCCAGCTGGAAGACCTGGGCCCGTTGAGTGCGTCCCAGCACGCAGAAGGCAGACACCAGCACTCCCACCAGCAGGCCGAGCTCAGTGTTCACCAAGGCCGACGTGGCCATGGTGACCAGCCAGATAGTGGCGTCCACGCGGTTCACGCGCCACATCTGGGGAACATCCCGGAACTTCCGGAGCGCTCCACGCAGATTCACGACAATGATGACGGCCAGGACACATCTGAAAATAAGGAGACAGACAGTGGTGAACATACAAAGATGCTAAAAGCTAAAAATAACTTCAACACCTGACAGACAAACACATTTCCATCCAAGTTTGAACTACATTGACTGCTGAGTTTTGGAATAACTGCTCATTAAAATATCTTTAATACACTTGCATATCGCATATCTGCTTAGTCAGTTTGCAATGACTTAATTTAAACTGTGTCATTCCTTAGAATTGGACTGCTTTTATTATTGTGCCTTTAATGATACGTAAATAAGTCATGTTCTGATTGGCTGCCCTGTATTAGGATCAAAAAACCTGTCTGGGCTGAAACACTCTGTAGTCTGGAAAGGTGAATAATGTAAATGCATTGGCTTTTGTGACATCAAAACAAAAAAAAACAATGCATTAAAAAGATTTTTTGCAGCTTAGATTCCATATATGGATTGTATGAACTGGAGAGCGAAGTGACATTTTGAAACTTAAATAGTGATCACACATAAAATTCTTTTACTTCAACAAAGTGAAAATTCCAGTTTTCAATGATGTGGGCCCTATAAGGAATACTTCCTATTCCTTATAGCGTTGGGAACCACTACATAACCATTATACAAAATGGTTATGATGCCTCAGACATTGTTTTATGACAAAACATATTTTTAAAAGCCATTCTTGGTGGAGGCTGCTGTTAGATAAAATAGTAACAAAAGCCACTGTTTCACCATTACCATTATTATTTTAGATAGTAAAAATGTCTACATGTCTTCTAGACAATATGAACTTTGGTTCCTATCACCACCACTGTAAAAATGGTCATTTTCTTTACAATGCACTATTTTCCACCAAACCACTCTGAATGAGTTTGTTTACAACCCAACTGCTGCATTTTGTAAAAACTGCTATAGATTTCCCCTTTAAGAAAATCATATATACTTTACTGCAACATGCACTTACTTCTGAAGAGAGTAGAAGAGAGGAGCAATGACGAGGAGCACTAACAATAACACCAGTGCAGTGACCAGGCCTGAGAGCTGAGTCTGGCAGCCAGTTGACTCCTTCACTAGAGTCTTGGTCAGGGCAGCACTGGTGGTGAAGCAGCGGAAAAAGGATGGAAAGATGTTACAGAACCCGATGGCGTACATCTCCTGGTTGGGGTCCACCACATAACCATGTTTCTTAGCAAACATCTCAGACAAAGACACAGTGATGGCAAAGCCAACAATGGCTATGGAGAAGGCATCAACTGCTATGTTGGGGATGAGAGACCAAGCTGGCAGCTGAGGGGGCATGAAGCCTGTGGGAATGGCCCCAGCTACCTCGGATCCATACTTCTCCTGGAACTGACCAAAGTGGGAGGCCAGCGTAGCAATGATGACCACAAACAGCTCAAAGGGAATGGGTGCTTTGAGTTTGGATTTAAAGCGGTCATTGAGCTCTTTGGTGGGGACAAGCACCAGCAGGCAGAGGAGGCTGGTGATGAGGTCACAGATGTTGGTTTGGCCCAAGTTCCTCAGCAGACTGATCCAAGTTTTGATCAGAGAGCCCCAGCCCTGGGCACGAGGCAGCTTCAGGCCCAGAAGGTACTTCAGCTGTGAGGTTAGGATGGTGAGAGAGGCACCAGTAGCAAAACCACTCAGGAGAGAGTCAGAGAGGAACACTGAGACAAAGCCAACCTGAAGGAGGCCCATTAACACCTGAAGTCACAGAAAAAAGAATGACATGAATAATATTATAGGTTTATTTGTCAGAGACCATCAAATAAATATGCACCTTTAGCTCAATTATGTGTGCTAGTTTTGTATGTATTTATTCTCCACTTCTGTTTTCTATGTGACAGGTCCCCCTAAAGGATGTTCCTGTTGTTTGTAGGTTAGGATGAGCTCCTGATAGATGACTTCTCAGTCATGTGAAAGATAGTTAGCAGGGGTGGGAGGAAAAAAACTCAATACAGAACAATATTGCAATATGCAATATTTGGGTTTAAATTAATAGACTACCAAAATGCACCATGTCATAGTTTTTATTAAGGACAGATCTCACCCTGGATGTGGGAGTACAAGGTTAGATCCCCACATTCAGACAGGAATCAGAAAACTACGAACATTACATTCATCTGCCACTGAAAAGTGCTCTGAATAAAATCATTTATTTGAAATGTTGCTGTCTGCTTTAGAAATAAGACTCTGTTAAATATGTAAATGTAATATTTTAATTTTTTTAAGGTTTGTTTGAAATTTGTCTACTTCACAATTTTGTTTTGCCTCAATGAAAAGACTGAGGTCAGATTAACCATCTTCTGTTTTAATAATAGCAATAATTGTAATAATTTGCAGAAATCACAGTATGTTACAATATGTCATATCACAATACTTAGCATATCACAAAGATTTAATCTGCAGTAGAATCATATCGTGGCTCAAGTACCAGTGCTAAAAAAAGCTCCTTGTGTCGCAAGTTACATCCGGGTGCTATGACATAACAGAGCAGTTGCTTGCTTACAGAGAGGAATTTGCTATATGTTTGCATATGCAGTATGTTCTTGTACTGTGGCGTTTCATGGTTGATTTGTTCTGTGACGGCTGAAGTAGTAATTGTCACCTACTTTCTATCACTTTTCAAGAAGTGTGAGTTTGGGTTTAGTTTACTATTCTGAAATAGTGCTGAGTCTTGAATATATCTTCTTTATTATACTTGTCACAATCTTTCTTTGTTTTAAATTATTCTGTTGTGTATTTCCAGGTTTAAAAGAAAAAAATCCAAATTTTCAATATGGCCCAAAACTTCTGGACCCCACTATGAGCCTGGCGCAAACAGGGATTTACACCAAATCATAATAATCTATTTGCCGTAAATAATCTGAATACATTAATATGTATCCCCTCACCATTCTACCAGTAAACATACACATTTTAAACCTTCTAGGCAGTTACACTTACCTGGTAGACTCCTGCTGTGAAGGTGACGGTAGCTCCGACAATGATGGCGTAGCAGCTGCGGTCACAGTGGGGAGCAGTGCTGTTCTCTAGGCTGGTCAGATTGCTCTGTGGATCTGTGAGATATCCAGCCACAGCCAGCTCCCTGTCCACAACCTGGCCCACCAACAAACACAGCACTCCGAAGATTCCTACTGAGATGTGCCTCGATGTCCCCAGGAGAGTGTAGATGATGCTGGAGAAGAAGGACGTGTAGAGGCCATAGATTGGATCCTGACCTGCCAGCAGGGAGTAAGCAATGGACTGGGGCACCAGCAGTATGCCCACAATAACGCCAGACATGAAGTCACCTATAAGCCAGTCTTTGACCTGATATCGTGGCAGCCATTTCAGAATGGGTATAGAATCAAAGAGCAGGGCTTTGGCTCGACCCGGGCTGCAGGAGCATTGCTTTTTCAGCTTTCGGCTAAGCACCTTTTTCAGAGGTTCCTCTTCTCGCTCACGTTCCTCCAAGATTAAGGGAATGTGAAGGTCACCCTCGGGTCCAATATCTGAGGCAGTCCCATTGCCCTCACCACCAGCCATCGTGCACTGACCCAAAGCTCTCCCTCAGAGAAAGACAGAAAGATATATCTGTTAATTGGGCTACCAGGAGATGTGTTGCGTAGAATGCAGCCATAAACGCTACATATCAGTTTGACAAATTAGTACACTGAGACAAAGCAAAAGGAAGGCGTGCATCTTAATCTGTTTGATATGGGAATGTGATATGGCCCTTTAATGCAAACAAAGGATTTTTTATCAAGGGACAAGGATTCATCAGGGCAGGCCCAAGACAGTCAATATTTGCTACACGGCACCACAATCAATAAGTCATCAAGCAAACGTTATCTCAATGTGTCTCAAATGACTTTCAAAGGGTAAAAACAGCGAGGTACTTTGTATGAATAAGGTTGGGTGTATACGTATACATAAGAACATACATATTAATAAATAAATTAACTAGTCTAACATCCACTAATAAACAGAGTCAGAGACATCTATGAGTCAGAGACATCCATGGGTATTTATTGAACAGAAGCACATAAAGGGAAACAAATTTGTCATTATTACATGGGCTACAATTAGACATTGTTAGCATGGCAGTGAAATGCATGTTTCTACATTCTGAGTGATTCTACAATTTGCTGCCAGAGACCATGTCAACAGAATACAGCTTTTTTGATTGATCTATTCACTCAGTGGCTTCAAATCCCAATATTTCAAAGGGAGACAGTACTGTCATGTTTTAATTTGCAACGTTATAATCAAAAATCAGAAAGACAAGACCACGTCACTGGACAGAAGAACAAAAATATATTGTCTATGATGCAAAGTGTCGCTACAGCTTATTTCATTGTTTTAGTGAATAGTATGGAGTTTCATTAAAGCAAAAGCTCAATGTTATATATCACTGAATATTATGAATATTATTATTTGGTAAAGCGTGTGGTCTAGGCCAGTGGTTCTCAAACAAGGTGCTTGCTTTGGGGTGGCTGTGAGTTCTAAAGGGGCCATAGAAACATTTCAAAAGTTGTATCTCTACTTTCTAATGTTTAATATCAGTTAATTAAATCTGCTTCGAACATATCTAAAAAGAGGTACTTGTTTAAAAATGTTGACATTTTTAAAATTAAATATACACGCCAGTCGATCACAATATGTGCCCATCCAACATCCACTTAACAAGTAATCTGTCACAGATGAGCAGCATATCACTGCTGTCGGAAACAAAACCTTGTATCTCCATTTTTGTTGTTTTTCAGTTTTTGACCTAATTTGAAAATGTCTGTTGTCCTATACATTGTGTGTAAATTTCATGATGAACGGACCAAAAGAAATGGCCCAAAATTACTTGGAAAAAAGCCTGGTTTCATTGACTTACATTGAAAGTAAACTATGTTTTGTTCCTCTCCTTTAAAGTTATAATTTTGGAAATACCAAGTTTTGTTCGGACAGCAGCGATATGCAAGGTCACAGACAGCTGTGGAGAAAACTAGCAAAACTGACAAGGTTCTGGTAAGAAAACACCTTTGTTCGTTGAGTGAAATTAATGATGGGGGCCGAGGGGAAGCAGTGCACTTAACCGCTGGTCTAGGCTATGTGAAGGCCGCATGCAAGTAAGACCACACAAAGTTAATCCAGATTTCTGACGATTTACTGTAGGCCGGCTAAATCAGGGCTGAAATTCAGTCCCGCCAGACCCACTCCCTCATGAAACAACAATCGGCACTTTGTACGAATGGGCCAATGCTACGAGCAAGGGCAGCTTGACTTTCAACATTTCTGCAACCGTTTCACTGCCAAATATTTTATGAAGTAGCTTGCATTGTAATTTGTTTAATTCGTTATAAACCAATTAATGAACTTAAGTGGGGGGATAACGAATGACTTTCAGAGGTGTTAAAAATGTGACACTAATCCAATAATTACACCTTTTTGAGTACATTAAAAAGAGATCTACTCAAACTGGATTTCATTTGTTTGTTTGTTTGTTTGAAAGTTTTCTTTATTTGACTCATTATTTCACCAAAGTAACTACATTTACATGAACAAGCGTTTAGGCTCTGGCAGTGGCTGCAGTACTCTGATATGGTTAACCTACTGATCCTCTTTGCTCTAATATGGATTGCTTGTTTTACAGTCATGCAAACGCACTCAGTTTCATGCGACCCATGCATGAGACCTAACCTCATAATCAGGAAATTATCTGTGCATTACTGTGTCATTTCAGTTATGACACCTACCTGAGGATTAAACATCATAAAAATCTTTTCACGAGGAATATTAACACTTTTTCTTCTTGAACTCAGTGTAGGTTACAGTTAACAAAGTGCAAGTTACATTATTCGCCAACCTCACACGCGTAAACAAACAAACCAAAGTTACCGCAACTTTAAACTTACTTCAGTTTGAAACGACACAGCATGCAGAGAGTATAACACGACATCCTTGAGGAACAGCTAACGCTAGCTTGCAAGTGCCCCCAGTTTATGAATGGGGACCATTGATGACAGTTGAATTTTTGCAACGTGTACTTGCCTCCCTCAGAGCAGGGCTACGTGTACTACACTGACCAAAGCGAAATTCAGAAAGACGCACACAAAGTTACTTAGTTCACCAACGGACATCCACTCACCTCCTAACGATTACACGGACACTTAGTGGTGTCTTCTTTCATTTCACATCCACCGCAGAACGAGTCTCATCTTGCCCGGACTTCAGTTTAGTGACTCTTCTAAAACTGTAACAGCAGACGGCTATGACATCAGCAGCCATCATGGAGCTCCACTGTCACGTGATCAGCGTCGACAAAACACAATCACGTGACTGACCAAAAACTTACAGTTAACATATAAAGTGTTGTAATAATGTTTATATATATATATACGCGACCCAGAAGGATAAGCGGTTTGTATGTATGTATGTATGTATGTATGTGTGTATATATATATATATATATATATATATATATATATATATATATATATATATATATATATATGTATATATATAAGCTCCACTTACTATATAGGTGCACTTTGTAGTTCTACGTTACAGACTGTAGTCCATCTGTTTCTCTGCATACTTTGTTAGTCCCCTTTTACCCTGTTCTTCAGTGGTCAGGACCCCCACAGAGCAGTACTATTTGGGTGGTGGATCATTCTCAGCACTGCAGTGACACTGACGTGGTGGTGGTGTGTTAGTGTGGTACGAGTGGATCAGGTCTGCAGTTTTAAAGACTGTCCACTTTATTGAACACGCCTACCTCGGTCCACCTTGTAGATGTAAAGTCAGAGACAGTAGCTTATCTGTGGCTGCACAGTTTGTATTAGTCACCCTCTAGTTTAGGGGTGTCAAACTCAACCACTAAAAGGGTCATATCAAAAAAATCTCAACAAATGAGCCAGAGAACGCCTATGTTTTTATTTCATTTTTAAATAACATTTTGCCATAATCTGAACTGACCTGCAAAACGTCAGCAGCAAAATATAGGCACTTGTAGTACACCCTGAAATAGTACATGAATAATTTTACAGTACTTTTTTGCAACATATTACAATCTTTAAAATATATTAAAAAAAAATCAAATCCCCAGGAGCTCGGTCTTTTAAACCTGCTAATATTAATAGAAAATTGAAATTATTTTGCGGCCTGGATAAAATTGTGCCGTGGGTCTTGTGTGTGACATATGGGCTCTAGTTCTTCACTCAGTCCAGTCCAGCAGTGACACTGAGATGTTTAAGAACTCCAACAGCTGTGTCTCATAAATATGCACATTTCATCATTTACGTCATATGTCATATATCATACAATTTATGTATGTTTCATCTGTATATCGCACGAGAGAGAGAGAGAGAGAGAGAGAGAGAGTAGGCCCAGCAATCCAATGGTATTCTGATGATACAGCAAGAGACTGTATCTGGCATGTGGTGTCATGTGTTCATGTGTTGATGTAAAGGTCAGAGACTCTGTACTCTGTAACTAGTTCACATGGATATTGCATAACATACAGGAAGGACAGGATGCTGCTCCCTAGTTTGGGTCCATTTATGCTAGGAGCCCTATGGCTTATATCCATACACTGACTGACTGGGTAGAGTTGAACCCAAATTTAAACAGCCAGCAAACTGCTTTCCATTATATCTCACAACTAAACGGATTCCCTTTCCCATTTTCTCTCTGAGAATACTGATTTTTATGGACATTGTATCCGAGGTGCGAGCACTGTTGTGTGAATTTCATAAGCCAAGTTATAATTGGATGCAGGATTAGGAGCACACACACACCTCTTTAAAACAATCCCTGTAATCCCCAGTTTGTCTGTGCTACCCTCAGCTTAGGTGCAGAAGACAGCACAGTCCACTGAGGTTTGCAGCCCAGTAGGAAACTCTTTCGAAAAAGAAATATAAATTCATCTTCTCAATAAGGCCAAATGGCTGTAGTGGACCAGGATGTGGCCGAGAAGTTTTTGGACAGCAATCCGGCCTTCGCCAAACAATACTATGACACCCACTTCAGGGCCCAGGTCATCTCAAACCTGCTGTCCACTTCCAAGAAGGCAGAGGTGGACTTCAACCAGTATCATAACCTGAGCTCTCTAGAGGAGAGCGAGGTGGTCTTCGACATGGTGAGGGACATGCAGGAGAACCTGCAGATGGAGAGGGCCGTGTTCAACCTCATGCGCCACCTGTGCTTCATCATGCGGGCGGACCGCATGAGCCTCTTCATGTACCGGCAGAGGAACGGCACGGCTGAGCTGGCCACACGCATCTTTGACGTCAACAAGGATGCCACTCTGGAGGACTGCCTGGTGCCTCCGGAATGTGAAATTGTTTACCCGCTGGACACAGGCATTGTGGGCCATGTAGCCAGTGTCAAGAAGATAGTGAATGTACCTGATGTGAGCCAGGTAGGCCAACCACTCTTAGATGTAATGCGAGATGGGCTGTTATTTCAGTCTGATCCCAGTATCACTATTGAAACGTATTCTATGATCATAATAGTTATTTGTTGCCAACTCTATCTTACAGCAAACTGTAGGGTGCTTTTGGGTTTGGGGGTGGGATTGGTAGAGAGCTTTACTGCTGCTGTGCTGTAGCTGTTAATCCTGAGTACATAGTCATACTTTATGGAACTAAGTACATTTTTTTAAAAGTGATATTTTCCAAAGCAGTGATATGATATAATAAATAATACAAAGTAACAGAGTGCAATGGTATTGGGGAAGGACTCACAGCTTCACAGAAACTGTGCATTAGCTGGGTTGTTCTAGGCTGGATGCTGCGGTATCCCTTGCCCTTGATGGCAGTATGGTGAACAGGCCATGTGCTTGGTGACTTCTGTTCATACAGTATTACGTGTACAGTACTATAACAATGAAGTTAAAACCACTAACAATCTCAAGGCCTGCATTTTTTACATTTTGAGAGGTCTCAGCCAAATCCTTGAGTCTCAAGATTGGCAGCCCTATTTGTTCATCAAAATTCTCACAAACGAGAATGAGTTTCCTTCTGAGTCTTAAATCCACTTCACCAGTTCTTCCTTGCCTAGGCGTGCTCATTAGGGTTTAGACCAAAGTTGCTTTTCGCCACATCTGTTGTAAAAAGATATAAAGTGAGTTGAATTAGGACTGGAGCAATCAGACAGGCTGAATGAACAGCAATGTGGACCCCCTGTGGTAAAAACACAATGTTAATACACATGCAGACCAGCAGAGGGCAGTGCAGGACTGCAATAGCTTTCATGTTATGATTCTGACGCATTCGCTGCCACTAGCTGAAGCATTATCTGATAAAGAAGTTTAATGCAGTTTCCCATAATACCCTGCTAATATAAAGACACATCAAGTACATCAAATTAAGGTCATTTTGCAAAATCATACTTTGGAAAGCATATTTTTATGCAATTAACAATATGATTGATTACCTTTACCTGGTAATCAGCCCACTGAAGTTAGCTGGCAAAACATGGAGGACTTTTTATTTACATAGATCAAAATGACTGTAGTGTGTTTAATAGCTTCATGTTAGCTCAAAATGCTTCAGTTTGCTTGTGATGTGTAAAGAGCATCATATGGCTAAAAGAGAGCACAAGGCCCAGTTTCTGAAGGATGTTAAAGGTGAATTCTACCATTTTTTGAAAATCTCTTAATCTGAACTTGTAAACAGAGTCATTCAGAGGGGTTTGTTGTGATGTGGTTCACTGTAGAGAAACATGCTGATTGATTTATCCATTATCCATCAATCTGATCCATTTCATTATTTAGAAATTTTGAAAAATCAGTGGAGTTCCCCTTTAACATTGCTCACAGGGCCAACAGATTAATTTCAACCTGAATCACACTGCTGCAAAAAAGAACGCATAGCCAGACGTGCATGACAATGGTCTGGGGTGAAAGCCGTGAAATTCAGCTCACCGTTTGATTAGCGAGGAGCAATCATTTTTCAGAGGAACAGACTGTCTCTCTCCCCGTCAGCATGAAAAGCAAAAACTCCTCAGCCTGGAAAACGGTTTCCTCTGTAGAACACGACCTCTCCAGAGAACATAATCACTTGTAACAAATTGGTTTCCTTTATCTTTGTCGATGGTAACGTGTGACTGAAATACAAAGTCTCAAAATGCAGCAGTGGCACTCCCTCATTGCTTTAGGCATCTTCTATACATCTGACCAGTGACCACATTTGGTAGATGTTCAGCAGTTTTGAATTTGAGGACTGTTTTGTGCAATCTAACGCTCGATTGCTTTTCATGATTTGCTCCACATGATGACTCTGATTCTGTTGATCCATCTGAGAGAAAAGTTTGCGATTTTAATGGCACACAGACAAGTTATTCAAGCCTGTAGTTCAGCTTTAGGGTGAAGCTTCACCTTTCTAGTGCCAGTAGGATGCTACAGTGGGATTAGTGCAGGTTTCTCTTTCCTTTCCCTGGCTGTGGGTGTTACTGGGCACAGGGAATAAAGCTCTTTAATCTCACTTGAATTAGAGCGATGCTGGATTAAATCTAAAGGTCAGTGCCTAAAGCTGTGTTCTCCAAGTCAGCGGAATAACAGCAGCTTACCTTGACTCCACATCTCATTCACCTTCTATTTTGCAGTAGAATCATAACTGCTCCTTATATGCAAGCCTTTGAATACCTCTAGCCTAACGTGGAAAGAAAAAGAAAATGATAGCGGACCCAGTATTGACCCCTGAATCACCAAAAGAATGGTGCTTTTCATCAAATGTATTTGACAGAAGTTATTACCTAGGAGAGACCAGCGGTGAATTTTGAAAAGCCTGTGGAAGTTTAAAAGGGCATTCTGGCCTAAAACTAGCATTGATATGGTATTTGTTATGTTCTGTAGTTTTCTATATCGCAGCACTGCGCCCCTACGCCTCATTGGTTTGACAGTACTCTTGATTTTGTATCATTTTTGTGTTTTCATCCATCAGTGTTCTCTCACTACAATACCCAGCATGCATTATGCAAATACCTAATACAATGATTTAGAGTCCCTACGGAACTGAACAAATTCTGACTGCTAGCCTGAGCTGAAGGCTAATAAATACTTCTGTGGTGCTAGCTAGCATTAGTGTTACTAACTTCAGTTTGTCATGAATAATTCATCCCCAAATACCCAACCCAAAAACACTTGTCTTTCAAAATTGACTTCCACCTTCAAGATACATCTTCAGAAGGAGGTTTTTCTGGTCTTTAAATAAGAAGTCTTGCTACAGACATTATTGCGGCTCCACTTTAAGAGGCAAGTAGGCATGTTTAGAACAGATGTAACAATGTTTTTTTTTATTATTATTATTATTTTAGCCAGAGCTTCCCTTTAAGCTCTGTTCATACATTTATGTGCCTTTCATATAATCTGATCCACATGGTTGGTCAGACCATGGCATGTGTTTTTTCCCAAAATGATTGGTTGCTTATAAATGTGGTCCAAATCGAAATTGACAAAGTCTTGTTGTATGGAACTTTTTTTGCTTTAGATATCAAGGAAGAGATTAGATGCATATCAAAGAAATGAAGAAATCAAATTTGTCTCTTTGCCTAAAAGATTTGGAAGAAAATAAAGTTTGACATGACTTGATATTGTAACGTTCCCTGTTGCTCTTATAGGTTTGTAGCATCACTTTTATATAATTCTAAAGGCATGATTCTCTCTTCAGAGCCCTTACTACAGTGACTTTGTGGACACACTGACTGAGTACACGACCAAGAATGTGCTGGCCACGCCCATCATGAACGGCAAGGACGTAGTGGCCGTCATCATGGCAGTGAACAAGATTGATGGCCCGTGTTTCAGCGCACAGGATGAGCAGGTGTCCCCTCTCTCTCTTATCATCATTCTCTTTCCTTAATAGTGTGCATCATACTATACTCTATACTACAGCTGACACGTGAAATATTGAAGGCTTTAGGTTCTCAGCTTGGACATTTCTGTGTCAATCTTATCTGCCCAGCATTGTAATACTCAGACCATGGTGATGGTAATTCATAATACATATCTGTTTCTTGCAGACGTTGCAGAAATATCTCAACTTTGCCAATCTGGTTCTCAGAGTGTTCCACCTGAGCTACTTGCACAACTGTGAAACCAGAAGAGGACAGGTGAGGTCTTTATTCTCGTTCTTTTGCCCTGTGCAATTGCACTATTTTGGGTTTGGTCTATTCAATGGTTTCCATTTACATCCGCTTTGCAGGTGTTGCTCTGGTCTGCCAGCAAAGTGTTTGAAGAACTGACGGACATTGAAAGACAGTTCCACAAGGCCCTCTACACAGTGCGAGCCTTCCTCAACTGTGACCGCTACTCCGTGGGCCTTCTGGACATGACCAAAACAAAAGTGATTTTCTCAAAATGCGTATTTGTCTACTGCTATAGCATTTGACCTCAATTACATTTTCTTTATACCTTTCATATTAGTAAATGGTAATGCTTCTTCAGTAGACTAAATGTCAAACATATGTCTTTACAAACACACTTCAGCTTGGCTGACATTTAACATTAAACGTACTGCAAAAATAAAAAATCCAAGCTGAGGCGCAAGTAAGGTAGAGCTCTTCTGAAATCTCAAGAGAGTGTTTTCCCCTTGGATAATTACAAATTACTGGCAGTCGTCATGACTGAAAGCATCCTTTTTCATGCTTCTAGGAGTTCTTTGACCTTTGGCCCATCCTGATGGGTGAGGTGCCTGCATATTCTGGACCAAAGACCCCTGATGGCAGAGTGAGTGCCGTAGAATATGACTTTAACTGACCTTCAGAGCATCATTCATTAAGTCAATGTCCTTCATAACAAATACATGACGTGTTGCTTCGGGATAAGCTTACGATATTGCTTCCCCCTCAGGAAATTAACTTCTACAAAGTGATTGATTACATATTGCATGGAAAGGAGGACATTAAAGTAATACCGTAAGTCACTGCATATTTATGATCTTGAGGTTCAACGTTTAATTACTTGGCTTTTAAGCATAGCCCTGTCACATATACCTTGAGGTGAGGCTAGAATCCTCTGTCTTGAGCATTGGTTTGATTACAATAGCCATAAGCATATCAAGCATATCAATCTCAGCCATAATATAACAGCTCAGACATTGTTATTTTACTATAATTAAACATGATGATTAAAAGGTCTGGAACCACCCAAACACCTGTTAGAATTTACATTAGATTTATCTAATGTTAGATTCTAACACCTAACAGTAGTTAGAGCTCATCATAATGTATCATTATGTATTAGACCAATTGGTTTACATATGACTTATATTACTGTATTATATACTAATACAACCCGATTTTCAAAGAAGTTGGGATGCTGTGCAAAATTTAAATGAAAACAAAATGCAATGATGTGCAAATCATTTAAACCCTTATTCATTTGAAAATAGTATAAAGACAACATATCAAATGTTGAAACTGAGAAACTTTATGTTTTTTGAAAAATATATGCCCATTTTGAATCCAATGCCAGCTACACGTTTCAAAAAGTTCGGATGGGGCAACAAAAGGCTGGTAAGGTTGTGTAATGCACACCTGCAGGTTAATTGGCAGCAGGTCAGTAACATCACTGGGTAGAAAAAGAATCTTTCAGAAATTAAGATGGGGAGGGACACTCTGTGAAAGACTGTGTGAGCAAATAGTGCAAATATTCAAGAATGACGTTTCTCAACATAAAATACCAAAGAACTTCGGGATTTCATCATCTACAGTACATAATATCATTAAAAGATTTAGACAATCTGGTGAAATCTCTGTATCCAAGGGACAAGGCTGAAAACCAGTATTGGCTAGCCAAGATCTTTGGGCCCTCAGGTGGCACTGCATTAAAAACAGACATGAATCTGTAGTGGAAATCACTGCATGGGCTCAGGAACACTTCTGAAAACCAATGTCTGTGAACACAATTCATCACTGCATCCATATATGCAAGTTAAAACTCTATTATGCAAGAAAAATATATAAAAAGAAATCATATATAAAAAGTACCCAGAAACACCGCCACCTTCTCTGGGCCTGAGATGGACTGTGGCAAAGTGGAAAAGTGTTCTGTGGTCCGACGATTCAAAATTTTAAATTCTTTTTAGAAATCATGGACAATGCGTCCTCCGGGCTAAAGACCATCAGGCTTGTTATCAGCATACAGTTCAAAAGCCAGCATCTGTGAAGGTATAGTAGTGCATTAGTGCACATGGCTTGGGTGACTGGCACATCAGTGAAGGCACCATTAATGCTGAATAATATATAGGTTTTGGCAACATATGCTGCCATTCAGACGATGTCTTTTTCAGCGAAGGCCCTGCTCATTTCAGCAAGACAATGTAAAACCACATTCTGCACATATTACAACAGCATGGCTCCATACGACAAAAGAGACCCCGAACTGTTAAGCAGCTGAAATCCTATATCAAGTAAGAATAGGAAAATATTTCACTTTCAAAACGACAGCAGTCGGTCTCTCCCAAACCCTTACAGAGTGTTGTTAAAAGAAGAGGTGATGCAACACAGCTGTAAACATGCCTCTGTCCCAACTTTTTTGGAATGTGTTGCTGCAATCAAATTCAAAATGGGCAAATATTTTTCAAGAAACAATAAAATTTCTCAGTTTTAGCATTTGATATGTTGTCTTTGTACTATTTTCAAATAAATATAGGGTTTACATGATTTGCGCATCATTGCTTTTTGTCTTCATTTACATTTTGCACAGCGTCACAACTTTCGCTGAAATGGGGTTGTAGTTGTATTACAATATTTAAGCTGTAGGATTAGATAGATAATGAAATTTTTTGCAAATCAAATGCATTTACTGTGTTCTGTAGGAATCCCCCTGCAGACCACTGGGCACTGGTCAGTGGACTGCCCTCCTATGTTGCTGAAACCGGCCTGGTGAGAATCTTCCCTCAGTCTTCCCTGACACACCTAGCTGTGGCAATCAAACAAGCCAGAAAACCATTAGACACAAGGCCATGTAGCTCTCATGTGTGCGGTGACGGGAAGCGGAATGTGAATGAAATGTTGGAGAACTGCAGTTGTCTGGACAGAGTAATTAATAAAACAGTGCTGTTCTGTACCAGTGAATCTCACTGCTGCTTTTCTCCTCTCCTCTCTGCCTGCCTTTCAGATCTGTAACATAATGAATGCTGCTGAAGATGACTTCTTTGAATTCCAAGTAAGCTCAGCTTTTTAGTTTACTGCCAATAAGCGTCAATAAATCAATATTGATTAAATAAAAAAAGCAGTTCAACCACATTGCTTTTAACGGTATTTATCGTAATTAAATGGGGATAGATAGATAGATAGATAGATAGATAGATAGATAGATAGATAGATAGATAGATAGATAGATAGATAGATAGACAGACAGTAAATGAAAGCTGTTTTGCTGATTTACCATTTGAAGTTCAAAAAACTTAATTTTAGGGCAGCCTGGTAACTTTTTAAAGTTGAATTACCATTTTTACAGTGTAGATATATTATTATTATTATTATTATTATTATTATTATTACACACATTACTTTGCAGAGACCATGCTTCATTTATTTAATTTTCTGTCAAAATGGCCATTAAGTTATTTTTTGTACATACATCATATTTGTCCACACCTCCAAAGTTCAATCTTAGAAGTTGGTTGCATTTTCTACTTCTTACAATCCAAATAATAACAAACACATTCAGTGATGTTGAGGTCTGGACTTTGGGATGGTCAGTCCATTATTCAAAAAACACCAACAGCTTCTTTGTTTGCTTTGCAAAGTTCTCTCAAAGATAAAAGCTTTAAGTACTGTTTATCTGATGGTGAACTCCAGTTTTGGAAACTGCTGTTTGTTTGTTTTTGTTGTTACTTATTTTTCTTTGACTTTCTTTTATGAAAGTGGCTTATATCTCATCAGATATATCTCCTGAAAAGTGAATGACTTGAACTCAATGGCCATTTTGACAAGAAATTAAGTAAATAAAGGGATATATGACTTTTACCCAGTACTATATAAGATAAGATACTTAAGTATTATCTAGTATAGTTTGCTTATTTAAAATAGAGTATGCTTTAACTGTGCTGACACTTTTAAACTAGCATTGTTTTCTGAAATGTACTCTTAAATAAAACGTATGTTGTTGTTTCTGTCAGAAAGAGCCTCTGGACAGTACAGGCTGGACTATAAAAAATGTTCTGTCCTTGCCTATTGTGAACAAAAAAGAGGAAATAGTTGGTGTGGCAACATTCTATAACAGGAAGGATGGGAAGCCGTTTGATGAAATGGATGAAACGCTAATGGAGGTATTTGTGGATTCAGTTTTGGCAGACATGGTGTGAGAAATGAGTCACAGCTGTATTATTACACAACTTTGCATTATTCATTTATGAGGCCTTCATCCAGACACTGGTATATCCATGCAAAAAGAAAGAACCGCAGTCTAATATTTTAAACAGAGTAAATGTGGTTCTGGAAAAAAGTGCAGGGCTAACCTTGCTGAATCCCAGAGATTCACAGTGTTTAATTGGAGTTCTTGTTCTCTTTCGTCTCAGTCTCTTACTCAGTTCCTGGGCTGGTCAGTGCTGAACCCAGACACCTACGAAAAGATGAACAAGCTGGAGAATCGAAAGGACATTTTTCAGGACATGGTCCTCTACCATGTCAAGTGCAGGAAGGACGAGATCCAGAACATCTTGGTGGGTTTCTGTACTGCTGACAAAAGCAGCTAAGCATCTACTGTGGTTAGTATAGTGAAGTGGGGAATGTCCTTGCTGTCCATGTCATAAACTGAGATTTGAGGCCCTGCCTGGGCTGTACTGCACACACGAGAATCCTTGGGCAAGACAATACTGTAACATGTTCAAGAAATGTTTTGGCATGTTAGTTTTAGGTTATGTGTTCTCTAGCATTTAATGCAATTGGGGTGTTTTGTTATGGACTCCTATGTAGAGGGTGAGGCCAGGAACCACCCCAGGGGTGTATATATGTCTGTGAGTGAGCTGGGAGGGTGAGAGATGGAGCTGGGGTAGGGTGCAAGCTATTAGAGAAAAACTCCACTTATGTATGGTGTGGCTATGACTGACAACAGCTGGAAAATAAAGCACCACAACTTGTATGAAAACAGTGCCTCTTTAGTCATAGCGAACGCTACACTATTGCATTTAATACCCTTGAGAACACTTTAAAAAAGCACTGCACACACACAGAATTAGAAGAATATGGCTAAAATCTAAATGAACTGTGTGCTCTGTGCTAGAATACACGAGAGCTGTATGAAAAAGAACCAGATGAATGCGACGAAGATGAACTGGAAGAAATTCTGGTAAAAAATTATTTAATTAAAAGACTAAATGAAATATTTATAATTATATTATTATATGGTGAAGCACCTTTAAAAGCTGTATTTTTTCTGTTTTATAGGTAGAGGTGCTGCCGGACTCGGAGCAGACGGAGATCTTCGAGTTTCATTTCTGTGATTTCGAGCACTCTGAGCTGGACTTGGTTAAATGTGGCATTCTGATGTACTATGAGCTGGGAGTGGTGGACAAGTTTCATATTCCTCGTGAGGTGAGTTGGAGCTAACAAGCTGTCTGCTGGTTTGCTTCCAGTGCCGTGCCGTCTGCTCAGAATAAACTGATATTCAGAACTAATCCTATTCTCTCCTTGTAAAAATGGAAGTGGGCAGAGATTGATTTGCCATATTTATGAGATTTGGATTCATTTTATTCATTCAGACTCTTATTTTGCTTCATTTTAATGAAAACAGCTGTATATAAGATTTTTTGTTAAAGTTAAAAAAAGTAGCATTACCGAGTTGAAGAGGCATTGCTGACAGCTGTCACCCTGTGAAGCCTGCAATAATTTTTGGACCACATTACACATCTTTATGTTTTAATGTCACACACGCAGGCTCAAAAAGAAGGCTTGATGTTTAGGTCCGGCTTGATGTTTAGGTCACAGATGCAAAATCAACATGATGCTGATAAAGATATGAAAAAAATAGTAGATCATTTACTTACATCCCCAAAAAACATGGCCTTCAAGTTCTCTTTGAATTCTCTATCAGTGTGTTTACAATCATCAAAACCTACATAGTGTAGCTTTGAACTATTTAAACTTTAACCACAAGTAAATATAAATGTAAATATATCTATTTTTACAGTTTTACACAAAAAATCTCTAAATAAGATGGTATACAAAACATATATACTATTTCTAGTTCCTCATCATGCTGATTAGTGATTAATAGCAGCTTTGCATGACATATTGGATTTGGTAGGTCAGAATTGCTCTGTTGTTCACAGGTGCTGGTGAGGTTCGTGTACTCACTCAGTAAAGGCTACCGAAAGATTACCTACCACAACTGGAGACATGGCTTCAATGTGGGCCAGACCATGTTCACACTGCTCATGGTGAGGAACAGGAACTACACAATGATGTCATTATCATTCACTTGGTACATTTGGTTTAGCCCTTACACTGCAAGCTTATTATTGAGTTATTCATTTTAAATTCTACATTATGTATTTTACTTCTTTCCCTGCCACATGACACCAAAACAGTGAAAATGTATGTTTGCCTAGCCATTTTCCATCATATACATGCTCTTAGAATTAAACAGTCCTTGTGCTTTTAAGACTGACATATGTAAATAATCTGTTCTGAGTGACTGCCTCATTCAAAAGGTTCTCCAGGCATAAGGAGACAGCCTCCTTATAACATCAATGCAAATGGATTGAGCTTAATTGATGTAGGCTGTAGGTGGATATATGAAGGGTTTTGTTACAGTTTTTTTCATGATATGTGATGTTTGGAGTGGGTTTTACGCATACAAGAAATATCAATGCCATATCATGATTAATATAACCAAGGAAAAAAAATCTGTTTTCCATTATATGTCAGCTCTTTTTTCAGTAATTTGTTACATCCAAAATTGTTACAGATGGATATACAGCATATTGGAATGAGACTCTTGTGACATCACAAAACTAATGAGTTGAAAACAAGTTTTTTGCAGCTCATTTTCCATATAAGTGACTGTATAGGCTGCTGTCTAAATAGCGCCTTTTGAAACTTTAATAACATCTACATACTACAACAAACTCTTTCAAACAAGTGAGGAAAATGATATGTGTTGTTCAAGACTTATTAATGAGTAACCGCTATGTATTATTCTGTAACTGCTCTGCTGGTTGTGTAGCTACAAGAGTGAGAAATTGAAACGTGGACCCACATATGGGCCCTTGCAGTTAAAGGAATAAATATCAGGCCGATGGTAACGTACCTATGTATAGATTTCACTGCATCTTAGCCTAGAGACAAACAAATGACCCCTCTTGACTACAGCGCTCGAGACTTTGATGGATTCCTCCCATTTGTGTCATGAACGTTTCAGTGTGTGGCTGTGTGCAGGTAATATGTACCGTTATAGGACCCTCCTCCAGTACATAACCCTTAAAATGGAAAGCGTGCCAAGCTAATGAGGCAGCCGAGCATGAAACTGCTCCATGCTGCCTCATCAGTAATCACAGGGAGCGAGTCGTAAGTCAGGCAGGACGGAGGTGTGGAATCGGCGTGAGAGCGGGCCTTAATGAGCCTTCCCCAGCACTGCTCCCAGGTGTCACTGAGCCTAATGAGCTCTCTGGAGTCAGCCTGCTCCTTTACAACAGGCAGCCATGGGGTGCGAGTGGGTCTCCTTGTGCAGCTCTGCCGAGAGGCCCATTAATGCTGGTTTTAACATGCTCTCAGACAGGTGACCTGAAGCGCTACTACACCGACCTGGAGGCCATGGCCATGCTCACTGCTGGCTTATGCCATGATATCGACCACCGCGGGACCAACAACCTCTACCAGATGAAGTACGATCCACTTATTACTGCCATCATCGCTGCAGACAAAGCTATGAAATAATGTTACGACTAGAGAATAGCTGACAAATAACCACAAATTCTGATTATAAGATGCTAAAACTAGCCTAAATCTGATACTATAGGCTAATGATTTTATGTGGTCATAATTAAACAGAATCGAACAGTTTTAATTAAACAATGCTGTACTGACATGTCAGATATGTTTGAACCTTAACAGCTCAAACTCTTGAGCTGTTGTTAAATAATTCTTAGCTTTTTGTTTGGCTTCAGCTACCTCTTATTTTTCATTTTTTCAATCAGTTCTCATCAGATAAATGTTTTAGTTTTTGTGTTATATCATGCTTCATTATGCTAACATTAGCTTTGGATTCATTTTACATATATTTGTTATTGTAACCATGATGGTATTAGTAATTGGTGATTATTAGGTTGGCACACGTGCTAGAAACCATTGATTTTTTTTCCACCTGGATCCAGGAGTGGGGCCACAGGGACACAGCGAAAATCTGATTGGCCCCTTAAGTGTCCCTGGGCTGACACTCACCACCTATAAGCACATCATTAACTAATATGCAAACGTGCCGCTCAAGTCAATTGTGCAGATTGGACGAGTTTTTAATTGTGGTCCCTGCTGTCAACAAAGAAATTTCTGAAAAGGAATCAGATCATGGTCATTTATATGCACATATAGTAGTTTAGACACAGGACATATGAAAGCTTTGAAAGCGGTGAAGTTGGTTTTGTTTTTACATTTCATACGTTTTCTTTCTTCAGTAGTTTCCGAATGGAGGTTAAAAATGTTTATATGTGTACATTATCATTGTTTGCAACCAAGACAAGCAGCTACCATTTTATTTTTGTCTGAAATTGATGTAGAATATGTTAACTTATGTGGACTGTCCACTGAGAGCTAAACAAGCATCACAAGTGGCAATCATAGGGGTTAAAGCATGACACGCCCTATGCAGTCAGTAAAAGCCTGTTAGCCCATAGAACCCAGGTGATAGGTGGAGTTTTTAGAATGACTTCTATTTATACTAATTGTTGAGAAGGTAAAAGGAGATGTCTGCCAAATTTCATACATATTGACCTTTTGACCAAAATCTTAATATTGGACAAATGTATTGTCAAAACAATATATCGATTAAGGATTAATGTAATTACATTGAATTACTAAAATAAAATATTAGAATTACTTTTTAAAAAATATATCTTAACCAAACTCTGTTACTCCTCATTAATGAGGCTTTAATTAAGTATATAAGCATGTTTTGGAGCATCTCTTCTGTGTGATTATTTTCTCAGGTCTGGGAACCCACTGGCAAAGCTACATGGCTCCTCTATCCTCGAGAGGCACCATCTGGAATTTGGCAAAACTCTACTGAGAGATGATGTAAGCCTGAGATTGAAGATTCTTTCAGAGCTTCTTATAATATTTTAATGGAATAACAGCCGTGCATGTCTGTGCATGCATGTGTAACTCAGAGCTAACCACCACAATTCCTGCTTTTTCACTATTCCCAGTCAGCAGTGTGTTTTTTCAGCTTCTGTGATTTCATCATTTCAGGCCTTGAACATCTACCAGAATCTTAACCGACGGCAGCACGATATTGTGATCCGTTTGATGGACATTGCTATCATTGCTACAGACCTGGCCTTGTATTTCAAGTAAGGGTATTGCATGTTATAGTGTGCCTATGATATAAGAATGTTGGCTTGTTTTTGTGCAGATCACAGATGAAGGCTACATCACCATAGAAACTGCAAGAACATTTCTAAGCTGTCAGTTGTTTGTCAATGTGAATGACGCTGAGTTAATTATTATGTGGACTTGCAGGAAAAGGGCCATGTTTCAAAAGATTGTGGATCAATCAAAAACCTATGAGAACTGGGATGACTGGACCAAATATATGATGCTTGAGTCGACCAGGAAAGAGATAGTCATGTAAGTGCTGGCCTGTTGTGTGCACCAGTAAAATCCCTGACCACATCAAAAGAAATTCAGTGCAGTGTAGTGCTAATACAGTCACAGATTCACTGCCATGTGATTTTATACGATGCTATAAACATAATAGTAGACAGAATAATTAGGGTCAGTATAGATTATGTTAGTAATTGAGTAATTGTGAGTAATTATTTTGATGATTAAATGAAACATTAAAAAAACATTAAAAATGGATATAACTGAGTAATGACAAACCATAAATTGGCTTTCAAAAATGTCACAATACTTTATTGGAAAAAAATGAACAAGAAAAATGATAAACAAGGAAAAATGCCTTTAAAAAGGCTTCATTAATACAAGGACACACAGTGTCATAGATGCAAAGCACTAAGAGTCATTTTAGTGCCAGTAGAGCCCACTTGTGAAGAATCTTCAGCCTATTAAACATGAGTGAGTGAGTGACAGACAGACTGACCGAGTGACCGAGTGAATGAGTTACAGGCAGGGTCCACAAACTGCGCAAACATCTAGAAATCTCAAAACACTTTATGGTAAAAATGCATATAAATGGGTAAGCCCATCTAGTTCTTTTTCTTACTGTTAGAGAGACCAATAGAATTAAATATATAAATTATCATCATGCAAATTGACAACTAATCACTATTGATTCATTGTGACTGTAAATTTTAATTATTTTAATTATTTTTTAATTATTTCAAAATCCCTTGACTAATTGCTTTATGATTATCATATGGATCTTGTTAAGTTCATGTAGAGTACCAGCATGGTGCTGATGATGTTTTCACAGGGCGATGATGATGACTGCCTGTGATTTGTCTGCTATTGCCAAGCCCTGGGAGATCCAGAGTAAGGTACGGCATTCCTGTGCAATAATGCAGTAGCAGGCCAGATTCAGTGGCCCCTGCATTGGAAACGGGCCATGAGTGCACAAAAGAAATAGCTGTGCTCCCAGGCAATATACTGTAATGAGACTCGTGCTCTATTCATATGGTAATGTGATGGTTTGTTCACACTATGTTATTGTGTGCATTTAGGAGGCCACAGTTTTGTAGATGATTCTATACAAAAGGCTATCTAAAACTGGATATTGAAATGTATGAACAGTTAGATTTTTCTGCTCATTCTCTTTTATGCATTGAAGTACGGTGCCAAGCTGTGGAAATACAGATGAAAAATGCTAATGAATGAACATGATGTTTTGCTCCAGTTGAAATGTGCAATCTTCCCAGCACATGAGCTTGTTGGAGGTCAAGCAATATTACTTCTGTCCTGTTGAGCTAATTAATTAGCTCTAGTTTGCAGTCTGTGAACTTCTTCAGATTATAGTGAATACTTGGGGGTTCCCGAGGGCGTCACTGTGCAGAAATGATAAAATAGAAGCCTGAGAAGTACTTTCAATACTAACTTTAATGAATAAGATCTAATCATATAGGATCACTATTATGCACTTTTGGAAGTTCTGCACAGCATATTTCTAAAGATGATGCTGGAAATAACATTCTAGTGCAACTGCAGACATAATTATACTATCTTATCTAACGTGTTGCTTGATATATATTCCAAAACTTTATTGTTGGCCCCTTTAAGAGATGATGTAAGCCTGTGATGATGTAAGTCCCCTTTATTAAAATCTGTACCTAATTGGCCCACAAACATGTTCACATTAGGCACTGTTGATCAGCATGTAGAATTGGAGCTGATTTATACTATCACTGTATAAAAGAAGCAAGATGCTGTTTTTATTGTTGGATGCACTGTGATAATTTCTAAGCAAGTATCAGCGTATTTTGGTTTGTTTCATCAGAGTAAGAGTTAGAGGTGATTGAAGTGTGAAATATGACACTATGTATTTGTTTTCTTGGTATTTTATCTTACCCAGTAAAACAAAAATCTACCAATGTTCATCTTTGTTAGATCATGTTCCTCACGTCTCACAATATATGTGACAACAGAACCAAAAAATCACAATATTACCAGAGAAGAATAAATTAAAATGTAGAAATAGCCAATTCACAATCAACGTTACAAAATGTTTCTCTACATGTTGTGTGCAATCACATGTTTTCATCCATCCAAATCCCCAAATCTTATGTAGTGTAGATTGAGATATATGGTAAGTTATTTAATGAATTATATTCAGTGTTTCATTGTTTATTAACAGGTTTGAACAGTGTGAACTTTTGACTTTTTCCTATTTTTTGTTTCAGTGTCAAGCAATGACAACAGCAAAACCATACATATAAATTGTGTATAAAACATGTTTTATGGACTCATAAATAAAATTCAGTAATAACAATATCTATATAATAAAATATCTCTTCTACTTACAAACACACATGCAGTACAGATTGAACGTTTATTATTTTTAACAGCATTTCTCTGCTTGATTCAAATATTTATGAGTGAGAGATAATTTATATGGAATGCCATGGTTTTGTTATCAACAGTGATAATTGCAACTTCTAATAGTTAAACATGTGTCCTGCAGGTGGCGTTGTCAGTGGCTGCAGAGTTCTGGGAGCAGGGTGACCTGGAGAGGACCGTACTGGAGCAGCAGCCCATTGTGAGACATTCTCTGTAATGACGGGACAGAGAAAGTGAGAGAGCAGGAGGCGGTGGTGGGAAAGACAGAGAAAGAAAGAAAAGAGAGAGCGAGAGTTAAAAAGAGAGAAATTTCCCATGGGCCACGTAATGATGTACTGCCTATTATGTGGTGCAGTGAATCAGAAAGAGCGGTCGTAGTAGCCCAGTCAGCCGCACCGTTCCCTAACTCTCCTATTTTACACAACTCTGACTCCAGATCCTTTAATGTCAAGTTTTTCAAATTACCATCGCATGGCTACTAACTTCCTTTAAGTGCAACAATTCCTACTGAAATGGTGGAGATTTGGCTTTTTTAAACGGTTGCACTTCACTCTCACACAATGCTAACGAAGTGTTGTTTACCCTCTAGCCCATGATGGACAGGAACAAAGCAGATGAACTGCCCAAACTGCAGTGCGGTTTCATTGATTTCGTCTGCTCCTTTGTGTACAAGGTGAGCTGCTCCATTTTGATGAGTCGACACATCACACACAAGGATTCTTTGACATAAATTCATCAAGATGTGCTAGACATTGATATGTTCATGTATACATCACTCTCGTAACAAAACCTTGTAACTCTAACAATTTTAATCTGATTTTTTTGCACACCATTTAAAACGCTTGCTGTCCTTTGCATTGTGTGAACATTTGATGATGAGTGGTTCCAAATAGCTTAGAACAAAACTGTTACATTAATGTACTTGTAAAGTTAAGAACATGTTTTCTTTCCTCATAAAGCTACGAGATACAAGGTTTTGTTACATGTACACACTTAAAGATGGTTCTTAAAGGGTTGTTTAGTAAAGAAAATGAACGCTTTGCATGTTTAAAGGGTTCTTTGCATCATGAAATGGTTCTTCAGATTGATAGAGAACGTGCTGGTAGAACCAAAAAGGGTTCTTCTGTGGTTACAAGCCTGATATTGTCACAATAGCAGAACCCTTTTTGGTGCTATATAGAATCCTTTTCGAAAATGATCTATATACAACTATATACAACACATTCTCCATCAATCTGAAAAATTTCATGATGCAAAGAACGCTTTCTTTTTTGAGCGCTCATGGCTCTATATAGAACCATTTTCTTAACTAAAAGACCCTTGAAGAACCATCTTTTCTAAGAGAGTATGTTTGTTTCTGAGTGTGTTGTGGATATCGTCAAAACTTAAAGAACACTATACAACTGCATGTTTCATTACAATTACAAAAACAGACCTTATCAAACTTCAGAAAAAGTCGGAATATTGTGATGCATATCGTGTATCTTGTCTTGAACTATCGTGATGTTATGTTTTTGCCGCATCAACTTCCCCTAGTGTAGTGCAGAAATAGAGTGGGAGTTTGTGAACTGCATTATTCATACAGAACTTTGGTTCTCAGATGCGACTGACTGCGCTTATGACGCAGCTACTTGAGCTGAGGTCAGACTAAGTTTAGCCTGTCCCATCACCCTCAAGTATGAACGGCATGAGATCTTCTTTCACCATTTTAGCTTTTTGTGATAATTGTCTTTCTAGATGTTGTCAGCTAATAAGAAACACTTTCAACTACCAAGAGCACACTAAGTAACAGCAAACATGTAAACCACTGTGTTAGAATCAAGAGGAATCCTGAAAGCTGAAATAGCCTGCACCCTACCGCCTCCACCTACGCTAATCTAGTCAACCTTTAAGACTTAAAAAAAAGATAAAAGATGGTTCTTCAAGGGTTCTTTGGTGGAGACAGTGATTGTATATAGAACCATGAACACTCAAACAACCATTCACATGCTTAAAGATTTCTTTGTATCATGAAATAATTCTTCAGATTGATGGAATGTGTTGTATATGGTTCTATATAGAACCATTTTGAAAATGGCCCTATATAGCACCAAAACAGTTCTTCTGTTGTTACAAGCTTGACATCGGAACAGTACAAACATGAGCTTAATACAGCTGAATATTAATATGAGATGACATGAGGTATAGCTCAACTTGAGGAGTAACTATAGAAGTACTAAGGTCACTGCAGACTACTATTAACCAATAAAATGCCTGTATTACACCACAGTTCACTGTGGAGGAGTTCAATGCCTTCTTGGCCGTAGGTTGACTCATTAAACCCAACTTGTTCAAGCACACACTCCTCTGTCTTCTCCTGCAGGAGTTCTCTCGCTTCCACGTTGAGATCACGCCCATGCTAGAGAGACTGTTGAACAACAGGAAGGAGTGGAACGCTCTTAAAGAAATACATGAGGCCAAAATGGCAAAGATCGAGGAGGCCAAAAAGGCCAAAGAGGAGGCCGCAGCTGCTACAACAGCTGCCAAACAAGGTGAGAACTTCTAAAATGCCATGAGTAAAAAAAAAGTGATTGATGCCCTGAAATGACTATTATTATCCTGGACTTATTAGTGCAGTACATTGTAGACGTATCAGACCTTTTCGGAATGGCAGAAAGCAAGAGAAGCTTTAGAGTGATCATCATGCTGTGGTGATTTCTTGCCATGGCCTTTCACAATGTGTAGGTTAAGAAACACAGAGAAAGTGCTCTTTAAACCTCTTCGCTAATGGGGCAGATTTGACACTCTACCTGAGAGACAGTGACCTTAACCTGTGTCCAACTAACCTCTCTTCTCTCTGCTCTTACAGCGAATGCTGCTCAAGCCTCGCAGTCCAAGACCTGTGTGCTCAGCTAGAGCTCAGAGGCTCCAGTGCAGAAACACTCCATATGTATGGAACTTTGCTCATTCAGTTCAAGTTAGATTTCATTATTTTCACATTTAGGTTTTCAAAATCTCTCATTAAGATTAGAAGTTGTGGAAGACGTCAATACAGCCGTGCTTAATGTGAAATGGACTGTTTCAGACATTTTAAATAACAGCGTGGTGATAACGCTCTGATGTGCTGAACATTAGCTAATGAATGTTACATTTACATTTAAAGGATGTTGCTGTAATATAAATGAGCATACAGTTTATCAATACTGTCATATCAAAACCTTGCAACTCTTTTATATCATTTGAAAATGACAGCTGTCGATTCACGAGGGATGAACCAATTGAAATGGTGCAAATGTACTTGAAATTAAATCTTAATACATTATCATACATTAAAGTTGAAGTGTTAGTTTGGCAAAAAGTCAGTTTTTACACACATTTTCCACAGTGTTGTGTGGGTCCAAGACGCGTTTGATGTCCAAACAGCAGAAGCTACTATGCTAATGTAGCTAACAAACAGTAAAAGCCAATAGTCACCCAAATCTGAACAAAAATTCACAGTGAAGTTTTATTTTTACAGCTACTGTAAATCATACTGTATCCTAAACATTGCAAAATTTGAACACCAAACACGTCTTGGTTTATCCACTACATCTGGAGTACGTGGAAAAATTTATCATTTTAAGAATGCTTTTTTCTTCTGTTGTAAAGTTACCATTTCGGAGATATGAGGTTTTGTCCCAACATCAATGTTATATACATATATATATATACACACTAATAGCAGCAATGAAGTGCAGTTAATGCATTTAATAGCAGCAATGAAGTGAATGAAAGTGAAGATAAGTACACATCCTCTACAGAGAAAACACACTTGTGCACATTTTTAAGCACAAATACTGTTTGCTAAATTTCACATATTGAAAAAAAAAAAAACATAAAATGTGGTCTGTGCAACTTTCATTTTTTTTTTTTATTCCAATATGTTTTATGCAGTACATAAGTAGAAATTGTGCACTTAAATTTACAGAAAATGCCATATTAAAGTTTTTCCCTGTAAAGGATGTGTTAACTTATTCAATCAATAAAGCATATAGTTTCACTGGGGGTATTTAAACATTTGCATACAACTGGTGTTGTAATTGATGTTTCAGATAAAATGTCCAAGCTAGATGTACCTACCAACCTATCAAACTCAGTGTATTTATGCCTAGAACTGTGTAGTGTACATAAAGGAAGATGCTATTTTTTGATCCACACTATTTTTGTGCTCCTCATTCACGTAACGCTGTACAGTCTGATACCAGAGCTAAAAATAAACAGAACCAGCTGACAACCTTTTGCTCTTACTGAGGTTCGTGTAACCGAGCTGTGCTTTGTAGATTTTCCGCAGCAGCAGCTCAGCCTAGAGGATGCGGTACACTCGGCTGGGCTTGTGTGCGTGCGAACCGTCCCACTGGGACCATACATAATCATCAGACAAAAGCCAGGATGATGCCCGGAGGGGAGTAGCATAATTGAGTGGAGAGGCGAGCAAGCTGATCGTCAGGGTAGGACTGGGGGGGCCAGAATGCAGCTACAGCATTGACGTCATCTCACACACGCAGTCAGTGCACGTCAGCAGCGTGTGATGTCATGCCTGCATCTACCTCACTGCTACAGAGCTGCAGAGAGAGGCGTATCTTCTGAGCCTCGTGACGTCAATTCATTCACACGCACACACACACGTGACTTACAATGATACAGTGGAGTGGTGAGCTGCCATTGGTTCCTCAGGATGCTGCATTAATAGGGTGGGCTTTTATTATGCCCTGCTGGCTGGACTTTCATGCTCCAATACAAAGGCTGGAACTTCTGCCTGGATACTGAATTTTCAGCACAGTAGCCAATCATGCATTTCCTATTCACACAGTGGCCCAGCTGGAATGGGGATAAGGGTGATCATTTCAGAACAGCTGCTGCTGAGGTTTTGACAATCAGCTCCCCCCACCACAAAACAATTCCAATCTGTGCACTACATGTTCCCGAATACTCATTCCAGGAAGCATTTCATAACACTGACTCAGTTCTGGGGAAGGTATTGAACTCTCCTAGCAGCATGCTACATATTAAACCCCATTGAGCAAGAACTTAGAACATGACTGGATGAAAGTATTTGAATCGGGGTCTGCCCAAAGTGTGGCCCACAGGTGTTTGATGTTTGATTTGGCCTGCAAGAGAGTTATTCCAATCCCACCCCCCTGCCCATCCAATTAGAACATATAATCGCTGTACAAAAAAAGTATTTCTATTTTTTAATTCATATTTTTCTACATAATTTGAGCACAGCTGCCATTTACATTGTGTGAAAATTTCATGATGAATGGACCAATAGAAATGCTCCAAAACTGCTTGAAATGAAATCTCTTTACATTAACTTCCATAAAAAGTTAAGAACATTTCTGTCTTCTCCTGGAAAGTTGCAATACTTTTTAATTACTTAATTTTCTTCCTTGTTTTATCCTTTCCATTGTATTTTGAAGTATTTAAGTAGCAAAATATAGTGTAATGTTATACATTTAAAAACCCCAATTTGGAACCAACCTACCTTCTTTATTATATACTGTTTTATTAGTTTTGGATCTCGGCCCACCACAAATATTGCACCTTGGCCAAAAAACCCCTGGCACCGCTGGTTTATACCATTCTGTATCTCATGCGTAAACTGACTTTAGAGATGCAGATATCCAGCATACGTTGTTCATTAGGATTTTCTTTTATTTTCTGGAGGCAAATCAATGAATATATGTACCTTTTACAGTATATGAGGATCAATTTCTACAGTTTAATAATAATGTAAACAATCTCAGAAGAGAAATGTATTCAGTTTTAAAAGGAAGCCATCGTCTTTTCTCTTTAAACTATTTACACGAATTAAAATATAATTTATAACATCAGATAATTTCCACTGTATAGATAATCTGTGAAACTAGATTTTAACAGTTCAAAAATACTGAAATGCATTTTGTCTCCATTCTCAAGACATATGAAATCACACAATACAAAGAAAAAAAAAACACCATTAAAAGACATCCAAGCTAAGTGGCATATAAATAAAAAAGAACAAACTCAAAATAAAACCAATATATGTAAAAATATAAAATCTTACTAGCAGTATTTACCATATACCAAAAAAACTAAGTTAAAAAAGGAAAAAAAAATCAGTGAATTTCATAGTCATTAGATGTAAAGACTCAAAATAAATCAAAAGAAATGAAACAACAAAAGAAATCAATGTATGCCCTTTGACGCTGATTTTGTTTCCACCAAAGACAAAGTCTCGAAGCAGCAAGACTACGACCATCACTGGCTTCATGGATACACAAAGACATCAGAGGTTCTGATAGCCCAGGCTCTGGCAACAAAATGACACATAATGGGACTGCACTTTCGATATTTGTGATCATGGTATAGCACAGACAATATAAATAGATCCCAAATACAACGATTATTGGTGATTTAGTGGGCGTATTCTTTCCGATATTGCAATATACTTTGTGAACGATGAGCTCATAGGGTAATAGATGTGACATGATTTAAAGTGTTATTTGTATTTTTTGTTGTTTTTGTCTTTTTTCTTTACGTTTATTACAATAACAATGAACATGTACACTCCAACCCACACTCACTTCCACACAAACGAGGCGGATCACAACATTCATTCGCGAGATGGACTTGATGTGCTACTGCACTTATTCCTGTACAAACATCAAATGTATCTTTTTTGGTCAACTTGTCTCGTATAGCTCATATAGCGATTGCTGAAATGAAGATGTATTGCATTTTGAAGAGGGTTCCCTTTGGAAGTTTTTTTTTTCCTTTATTTTGGATTATCGCAGTCTGTACATTCTAAACTGATGTCGAATGCTGAAATGTACTGAAGTGCTTTCAAACGCTGAACAAAAGTGTCAAAGATCTTCATAAGAAATTATATCATCTATATATATATATATATATATAATGTATATATCATCTATATATATTTATCTACACAAACCCAAATACATATATATTCATATATGTATATACTGTATACACCTTTCATAATATGGCTGTATTGAAAAAGTTTACTTAAGAAAACAGATTGGAGTTTTAAAGGACAGTAGATGTTATTAGTAAAAGCTAGATAGCTGTTTCCCCTTTTGTTTTTAAGGCTCTCCTCGTGAGATTGGGCTGTCAGTTTGTTTCCTCATAAGACCCGTTGAAGTGACCCAGCGCAAGATTCAGCAGGTCTACAAGTGCACGCAAACATACACATACATACACATACGCATACGCACTGCTTGTCACACGTCACAATTCGCACACTCGTACTTAGTCACTAATACCGCATGACAGTGCAGGTGGATTCAGTCAAGTGTTGTCCATGTGAGTACCAGTAGAAAGTGGCAATACTATATAGAGTTTCGACAGAAAACCCCAACCTCAAGCATACTTCAGTGCTTACAGTTGTTTGTGGATTACGTCTCAGACAGTTACTATTTGAGGTGTACAGACCACTTATCCGTCGAGTAGTTCACTGTTTTTCACTGTATCTAGCAGTACAATATCTCATTTCAAGGATTACCCCAAATAACTTTAGGCCAACCTCTTAAATAAAAGGCTCTCTTAGATAATATGTATTGCATCGATTCTGCTCAAAAAATAAAATAAATGACTTAATTACAATTATTAAAAACAGAAAAGAAAGACTTTTTTCTTCTAAAGGGATACTTTTTACAAGTTTTTTTTTTCTTTTGACTTATGAAGCCACGTCCATAGAAAATTCCCTTCTGCACCTCCCTGTATTGCTCAACCTTGCTCACCAGACAAATTGCATCATCGCTTCACCTTTGCCCCAGTAGACACGCCAGCTTTTGAAAACATGTGAACACCTCTCATGTTTACATTAGACACAGTGCTATGTACACAATATATACCTACATATATATAGATCTATTAAGATTTATGTAAACCAGCACATTCTCCCACGTTAGTAGTATACATACTAAGCACAAACACTCGTTCAGGTTTTCTCAGGACCTGCGTGGGATGTTTTTTGTTTTTCTTTCCTTTTTTATTATAGATGACACGGCGCTTGCTTCTGTGTCCGAAGCGAGCACGTAGATCAGCGTCCAGTGCCCTAGGAGGGTAGGCCGAGAAGGCACGTCCTGACTGGGTTAGCCTTAACACTGAATAAGGCGTGTTGTACTTAGTGTGCGCTCGAACAAAGTCAAAGGAGGATTTCAGTGATGTAAACATTCAGTTTCCTGGTGTGTTGCTGAGGAG